CTTCAATGTCTGTATACGCTTTCCTAGATCGGGTATCGGAACTGGAGCGCCAGGTATAATTGGGTCAGGAGAATGATGCTCATCCTAACTAGGCTCCGGGACATGTAATGGCGACCCTGCCTGAGAGTGATGTGGTGACTCCTGTGCTGGCTCTCGCTCTAAATCAATATCCATATACATGTCCGTAGCCGCCAGTGGGTCTGCTGGATCATGCTCTGCTGGCACTGCCGTGCTGCCGCTGCCTCCATCTCTGCAAGCTCCGCCTCCTCAATTGCCAAAACAGTATCCTACTCTAGGCTCTTGAAAAGAGCATTATAGCTCTTGTTCCAGTCCTTCTTGAGAAAGCTGCAAGCCCCTATCTCAAAACGCTATAGTGGATGGAAAGGGTAGTGCTGGTCCCACAGGATCTGAGTAATAAGCTGAGCGAAAGGAAGGTACTTATCCAGTTTGGGCTTCGCCTTGCTGATGTAGTCTGTGTAGAGCTTCATCATGACACTCCAGTAGAGTGTCAAGATAGATACCTAGAAAATCAGAATGCCTCTAGATCTTATGCCCCGCCATAAACACATTTCGGTACAAGACCGAATAAAAAAACCATAGGTCGTCGAGTAGATAAGTCTGAGTGGCGAATGTCTCGCCAGCTGCATATTGGCCTATTAGTGTAACGGCCATGTCTACATTAGAAGGCCTCTGCAAAATAGGATAATAAAGCTCAAGAGGGCAGACATACGGGTACCGCGAAGATCTGGCTAATGTATCAACTGTAATCCGGATGGGGTAGCCATTGATGGTGGTCTGCAGCTCTGATGGATTATCCGCGGCCGACCGGAGGTTCTGGAAGAACATCCGAACTAATTGTGGGAAGACAGGATAAGTAGCTGGCACCAGAATGGCTGAAATGCCGCATCCCTTGATGTTGTCAAAAGCTGCCCAAGTCAAGACTGACCGGAAGAAGAAATCAATATCAAAAACTGACTCATGCGCTACTAAAAGATATGAGTATCTCGGGAGAGGCCGGTCTCTGGCCTGGCTGTATTGGTGGTAGAGACGGAGAAGATGTATGCTCAACTTCATCAGAATGAGACGAGGAAAAGGCAGAGGTAGAAGAGACAGAGTAGTCATACTGAGTCGGAGCTGGCTCCTCATACTGCTCTAAATGCTCAGGCTGCTCAGCCTGCTCAACATACTCTAGAGATGGATCTGGAGCATGTGAAGGTCCTGCCTCCTTATCTAAACGGGGTCTCACTCTCCGCTCATACTGTCGACGGGTAATTGTCTTAACCCGTGCCATAGCCTGCAAAAGAACAAAACACTTGTAAAGTTAGCAACAGATAAGAATGATTTGAAGCGCACATATAGAAACATGTATGTTAAATAAGATAGACAACTCAGAGTAATAATCATGAATCTACGCAAGTGATCGTGCAGCCAAGTAAACAGTGACTAAGTGAAGCATGCTCAATAGTGTGAGTATGGAATGCATCCAATGTGGAAAACACAGGCATTAGGCATCAAGAAACTAGCATAAACACTATGGATGGTGTGTGAAGTGTGTATATGCAAATCTATGAAGTTCGATCGATTATGACTTGAGTGAGATCGATCTCTGTTAGATCGATTAGGACTAAGTTCGATCGATCTTTGTATGATCGATTATTGAAAACTTCAATCGATCGAACTGCTTCGGGAAATTTGAAAAGTCACAGATCTGTGACTTGGATGGCACGGGGGGTACCCAAGCAAGGTTGTGGGTCCCTTCACACCTCAACAACACTTGTGTAGGCACGTGACCCCCTAAATCGAAATTGAAACAAATATATACACAAAATATATATATATAGACATACATGCTTGAAAATCATCAACAATGACACAAATCTAACCTAGAAGCTCAAATCTAGCATGAATGGAAACTATCAAGATTGAAGCTCGAAAATGAAAATAAGGTTGAGAACTCACCAAGCTGAGTGAAAGAAGTGGAGACGAAGGAGATGAGATGAGATAAGATTTCGAAGCTCTTGAAACTAGCTAGAGGCTTCGCCGAAGGTTAGGAAGGTGGGTTGCAGTGGTGGGAGGCGACAAGGGTTGAGATCGATGGCCAAATCGATCAAATGACCCTAGGGTTTCTATTTTTAAAAACGATCTCCACCCTGTTCAATCGATCTAACCTTGTAAAACATATTATTATTATTATTATTATTATTATTTTGGAATTAAAAATTAGAAATTCAAAAAATACATATATTTTTTGGATTTTTGGAAAAATAAAAATAAAATAAAATGAAAATAAAAGTAAAGATTAAAATAAAAATCTTTTTGAGGTTTTTTGAAAATAAAATAAGAATAAAATAAAATAAAACATAGTCAAAGTCAAAGTCAACAAAGGAACACAGATCGATCAATCCAAGATTGATTTGGAAGATGCTTCGATCAATCGAACAGGTAAAAACCCACCGACAAGTTCGAACGATCAGACAGAGAACTGTTTTATGCTTGGTTCAAAATTTTTCTAAGTGTTGGAACTGAAGATCGATCCAAGAAGAATTTGGATCGATCTTGGAATTTCAGATCGATCACAAAACATTTCACACGATGGGACAGAGAGGTGCAATATGCAGGTTTGTTGCTGGAATGAAGTTCGATCGATCGAACCTCTTTTGGGATCGATTGAACAGGCACAAGATGCCTATTTCAGAATTGAAAGTGCAGGTATTTTCAACCAAAATCCCCAACAATGTGTATGAACCCAGAAAATATCTAGACGTCGCAAGAAACGAAAGATAAAATAGAAATGAGGAAGGAATAGGGTTGTAAACCCTACGAAGCATTGTTAGTCTTTAACATCTCTAGCCTGGATCAAATATCTTGTTATGCATCCCTTTCTTGGTGGGGTGAAAAACACTTTGAACCCCATCCAACAAATAGTTCTTTAAGGAATTTGTTGGATTTGGATCAAAAGGAATTGACGGTCTTTCGTCAAGGCAATTCTTAGGCTTCCATGCACTTTCAACACAAGGTTTTGAAACAATTTTCTTTGAATTCAAGTTTGAAGATAGACTTTTGGAAATTCCACTTCTAAGCAAGGACTGAACTTTATCACATTCATTATCAATGCATTTTTCAACAACACATACTTCTTCATACTTGTCTATGGAATTCAGGGTCGGATTAAAGATGTTCAAATTTCACTTTCATATGCCTAAATGAGATTTTCATTATCCCCGTCCTACAATTTATGTTGGCATTTGCGTTTACCAAGAAAGGACGGCCAAGGATAACGGGAATTTGGCTATTAGGGTTCGGAACCAGTTCCGTGTCTATGACAACAAAATCAATGGGGAAGAAGAACTTATCAATCTTAATCAAAACATCCTCTATGATACCCCAGGGCTATTTGATGGATCGATCAGCAAGTTGTAAAACTACCGACGTCAGTTTTAAGTCTCCTAAGCCCAATTTGACATATACCGAGTAGGGACAAAGGTTGATGCTTGTACCTAAGTCTAGAAGAGCCCGATTAATGACATGGTCACCGATTATGCAAGAGGTAGTAGGTGAACCGGGATTTTTAAACTTTGGGAGAGTGCTGTGTTGCAAAATGGAGCTCACTTGCTCAGTCAAGACCGCTTTCTTTTGTGTTTGGCTTTTGTTCTTCCTTTTTTGGGTGCAAAGATCTTTTAAGAATTTGGCATAAACCAGAATTTGCTTGATTGCATCCAAAAGTGGAAGATTAATATTTACTTGCCTAAACATTTCAATGATTTCATTGGTCTTGGTTTTTTGTTTTTCAAGAGAAATGGACCCTTTCAAGGCATCCGGAAATGGAGCTTTAGGCTCAAAAGATTTTTTTAAATCTTTCTTTGAAGAATCTTTAACATAAGAATTTTTAAAATCCTTTTTAAAGTCATTGTTCAATTCATCTTTCAAAACATTTTTGACAACTTCCTCAATAAAATGATTATGCACATGCAATGAAGGAGGAATAAGATGAGAAACGGGACGGGCGTCAATTTTTGGTTGCACCAGTTCACTCTCTTCATTGGAAATACCTACTTGATAATCAATAAGCTTCCCACTTCTCATGGTTATCACCGCATTGACATGTTCAATTGGGTGACCTTCCGATGAGGAATGAGTCTCCACAACACATTGTTGCTTTGGTGGTGAATTCAACAGCATCTTCCCTTTCTCTCTAGCATTTAAGGTACTAGCTTAGCAATGGATTGAGAATAGGAATGAAGCAATTCAGTATTCACCTCTTGAGTGCCTAGAGCGGTCAACACTTTCTCCTCAAAAGCGGGACTCCTAGAATTTCCTTGAGAATATGATGATTGGCTAGGAAATAAGAATTAGAAAATTGATTGCCATGTGATTGAAATGGCGATGATCTAAAACCTTGAGAACCTTGGCCTTGCATTGGAGATGGAACATACTTCCCTTGAAAACTACCTTGGGGAGGGTTTGAGCCTTCCCCTTGGCTTTTCTAAGAGAAGTTTGGATGGTTCCTCCAACTTGAATTGTAATGAGTGCCATATGGATTATTCCCTTGGTGGACAAATGTAGCATTGACTTGCTCATGGTTTTCACTTGGCACATGTCCATGGGGACAATTGGAAGTAGAATGTAAAACACTTGAACAAGTCATGCAAGATTCATTAGATTCACGATGATGATCATGATTAGGGGAGGAAGACATTTGATTCACCGAAATTTGGTTGATCAAGAATTGATCAAATCTTTGAGATAAGGATTTTATCTCGGCGGCTATATCATTGGAATTGTCAACTTGATATAAGCCGACATTCTTCTTTCTACCTAAGTTTCTACCATTTTTAGAAGATAAGGATCTATGCATTGAATTTTCACTCATACTTTCATACAATTGCCACACATCATTTTCATACTTGTCAAGATAAGAGCCACCCATAGATGCATCAACCATACCCTTGTGATTATCCGGTAAACTTTTAAAGAAATATTGAACTAGTTGCCACCTAGGTATGTCATGATGTGGGCATTTCCTAAGCAAATCATTAAACCTTTCCTATGCTTCATGAAATATTTCCCCATCCCCTTGAGAAAATTCACGAATGGGATTCCTCATAGCATTAGTCTTAGAAACCGGGTAGTACTTCTTCAAGAACTCTTGTTGCATTTCTACTTAAAAAGTTATCAAAAAAGGCCTAAGATTGTTAAACCAATATTTTGCCTTGTCTTTAAAGGTGAAAGGAAAAATTTTAAGTCTTAAAACCTCTTCCGACATGTCCGTGTATTTCACGGTGGAACACACTTCAAGAAACTCATCCAAATGCTTATAAAGTTCTTCACTTGGAAGTCCATGATAGTTAGGAAGCAATTGAATGGTTTGCGGTTTAATCTCATAATGATGTGCTCTAAATGGGGACAATTGAATGCAAGTGGGTGCATTATATTCATTAGGCATATAATGGTTTCTTAAAGCAATGGGAGGATTCACAATTGGTGGTGACGAACACCTTGATTAGCTTGAACCATGGGAGGTTGTGGAGCAAAAATTGGCCGAGGCATTCCCAATAGAACTTGGCCTTGTTGTTGTGGGTGAATGAATGGTCTAGGCATGCCCAACGGTACTTATATGTTTTCATAATGCACATTAGGGTGGAGGATGCCTTATTGGTCTATTTGACCATGGTCCTCCATATGGTCGTCATTTAGTTCCTCCATTGGTGAACTAGAGTGATGAGAATTACCTCTTCCCCTAGGATTACGAACAACCGATTCAAGATGCAAATTAGGAGGGACAAGAGTAGGATTTAATAACCTACGACTATGCATACACTAGCTAAACAAATAACAAGAAAATAACAATCACTTCGCCCCCACAACAAATCAATCAACAAACATTCTCCACATACATTGATCCCATACTCCCACGCTTGAACAATATGCAAAGAACATTAAATTGCCTCCACGCAGGTTCACGATTTATCTATGAAATGAAAAACTTGCCACCACGTAGGCCGACGATTTAACTAGAGACTGAGTTAGAAAGATCTCACAGAGGGTCCTTAAGCAACTTCAATTCATTTTCAATTTTCAAGCCTTGCTATGCTTTGCAATTTTTTAGATTTTAGCCCTTTTTGCTTATGCTTAGCTTCACTTGGCTTCCTTGCTTTTAATTCTCTTTTGCTCAACTTCCTTTGCTCAATTCACCTAGCCAAATAAGAATAAATAAAATAAATAACTAAAAATAAAGTAAAGAAAAAACACGATCGAAAGAGTACTAATTCCTAATTGTTTCCAAAACATAGCGTTGCCAATTCATTCCCCGGCAGCGGTGCCAAAAACTTGGTGTAGTCGTCGATGTACAACCAAATTTGTGCAAAATAGTGTGGCCAAGTTTTAAATTTATAAATATCACTACTACCTCTAACTAAAAATATAGCTAGGGTAAGTAGGGATTGTCCCACGGGATTGTGGGTGCTCTAGCAATGGAAACAATATATAGGTTAGTAGGTCGAGTGATCAAAAGTGGAGTGTTTGGTTGATTAGACTACAAACTAAACTAAACAAGTTCAGTGTAAAATAAGTAATTTAAATGAAATTTAAAGAAAACAAGAGAGTGAGGTCTTGGGGTCTAAAGGTCACCACTAAACATCACCATTCTAGACGTTCAATGTATAATTAATGAGGGGAAGCATGTGTTGCAATTTGAGAGTGTGTGATTGACTGTTTCAACAAGCATGGATAACTAATTAAGCATATATTGTCTAAACAACCTAGTAAATAGCAATACATCAAACTAAGCCATTAATCCTTCCTTTAAGCTCACAATCTAAACACATCACATGGTCAGAGAATAATACTACTTACATTTATAAGCATGGAACATCAAACAATAAGCATGGATTGTCCTCCTATCTAACAACTAAGGTAACTACAGTACAACTAAGCTAAGGGCATGAAAATTAAACAAAATAAACTAAGAGAGAGGCACAATCCATCAAGACATGAGCATGAACCATCAAATAAATCACATGTAATACCCCTAATTTTAAAAGGGTAGTCTCGGCATTTTATTTATTGTTTTATTTTATTTTGTATGATTATTTACGTATTTGCTTAATTACTTAATTGTTTTGTTAATTAGTTTAACTTATCTGTTTTATTAATTATATTACTTGATTAACTATTTTAATTATTTAATTGGGTTCATTTCATTAAATTATATTATTTGATTAATTACTTGATAATTGTTAATTATTTAATTGATTTAATTATTGAATTGTTTTGTGTTACTTGTTTATTTGTTTTACTTATTTTAAGCTAGGGTTTTATGGTTCACGTTATAGCTGACTTATAGTTAGAATTAGAATTAGGTTTTGGGTTTTAATTGAAGCCTATAAATACTATATGATATGTTGACTTAGGGTTTTAGAATACAGAACCTCTATTCACATGGTGAGAGACAGAGAGATACAGAGAGAAACAGAGAGAGATAAAGAGAGGAAGGCTAGGGTTTTGGCTTAGGCTAAGACTGAATCAAGGAGGGGAGTTTGGCGTATGCTTGTGGGTTGAACTAGGAGCAGCAAAGGTTGATAAAAAATAACTGATGTTGCCAGAGTTGCTAGAGACGACAGTTTAAGATTTCTAACCGAAAATCAGAGGCAAGTCTCTGTTCTACTCTTTCCCTTAAACTTGTGATTTGTGCATGCTTAGGTAGGCTCCAGGGATTAAACTAATGCTAAAACATGTCTTTTATGCATGTTTAATCAGTATCTAACTTCACTGAATTATTCTGTTATCAGTTGCTTAAAACTTTTAATTAAATTTCTGCTGCCGTTGTATACAAAAGTTGTGTTTAATGCATATCATGGTTGCATATTATGGTTTAGAATTAATCTGGGATTGGAATTTAACCCTAGAACAAGAAATAAAAACAATGTAAAGGATCTGAACTTCGCCAGAGGTGAAGAAGCTGAACCGGAAAGGCGTTATGGCTCTCAACGGAGAAGAGACGGCTCACCAAAGGAGGGAGCCGGGTCTAGGGATGAGAGAGCTGGCTCCCCCAAGGGTGGAGCCCGCTCTATAAGGGGTAAAACCAGCTCCCACTAAGGTGGAGCCAGCTCCACCATGGGGAGAGCGGGCTCCCTTGTTTTGGGAGGCGGTTCCCTCTTCTTTTATTTGGTTTTTCGTGTTCTGGGTTCTGATTTGGTCAGTAAGGGTTGGTTTAAGTGGTTTCAGTTGCTGTGAATGATGCATATTCCTATTACAGACATGTAAAGACACTGGGAAGCATGTCAACATTAATATCTTGAAGTATGAAACAAACCAAGGTTAAACAATAAACTGGCATGTGGAAGGTTGGATAAGTAACTTAAATTGCTTACTGTTTTTAGCAAATTGGTTTCTCTGTATTATCTTAAATTGTGAATCATGTTTTTCAGCTGTGTTAGAAGCCTATAGTTGTTTAAATATATGTATGCTTAGAAGGAATTAACCATGTCTAAATCTATTGTACATTGCATCTGTTATGGCACTGTTTGGAGGAGTTAGTTGCGTAGTCTTACTTTATCAATTTAAAGGACTAGAATAGGGTTTCTAAATCTTATATTGTATGCATAATTTGGTTATACACATGTTAAACTGTATTTATGCTTCTTTTGGGATGTGGTTGATGAATATTTATACTATTTTGTCAACTATGTTAGCTGGAGGATTGTATGCACTGGTATGCGACGATGGCATACTAGGTATGGATTAGTTCAAACACTAAGTCCTACCTAATCTGGAATAAGGTGTGGATTAACCATAAAGGTTAAGTCCGACTCCTACTGGTGTTAGGTCAGTAAATAACTGAATGACATAATTTGGTTTCTGGGATGGATTGTTATACATATATCAAGCCACTATACCAGATGGATGATATTTTGTATTAGGAGGACACGGACTTTATATATTTATGATATGGTGCCATGGTATGAGATTGAGTCTCAGGACTATAGTTAGGATGCGTATATCACCTAGGATGGATAACTGGACATAGGTGTTGTTCCCTGGTAGGTCTAGGTACACATGACCACATTATATGCGATTTGCATGGTATCTCTACTCAGGCTGAGACAGACCTATTGGACTAGTGAGCATCCTATAGTGTGTACTTATTCATATATGGACTACTTTAGATATTGCTGAGCTATCTAGGATGTATCTGCGTATCAGGTTTCTGTTTGGATAGTAGTAGAATAGGACTTGCATGTGGGCCTGACCCACTCTCTTATTTTTCAGGTGCTCGTCAGTTCCAGGGCTAGAGCATGATCGTGCAGAGCAGATACAGACATTCATTCCACCGATTACGTAGGACTACTTTCTTTATTTAGCTTTGGATTATGATTTTAGTTCTTTACTTTTCAGTTTGGGATTTTATTATTAGGGGTCCATTTGAGGGATTCCCGAGTTGTTAACTTTATAAAGTTATTGTTGGAGTATTGGATTTTTATAATTATACTTTTGAGGATTTTTAATTAGAATTCTTTTTGCCTTTAATCATTTATTTCTTATTATTTCGGTTTATACTCTGTGTCTATTAAATATTAATTGTTTGATATTCCCTCGGGTTTGGGCCTGGGTTTGATCAACCCGTGTCTTGGATCCGAGGGGTATCACACCACAATAGTATTCTATTAAGCACTATGCCTTGACAATCTCTAGATCCATAGTATCAACACACATAGACATGCATCAATAACACAAAAACTAGAGATAAACATATGAACATCTATTCTAACATACATAGACTTATGGATAGAATGAAATGATCAATTGGAAGTATTAAACTATACAAATCATTGAATAAACAAGATTCATATATAAAATAAGTGTTAAGACAAGATTACAACACAAATCCCCTCAAAATACAAAGTATTAGAGTCTAGAAGGCATGCTTAGGGCTAACTCTAGCCCTAAGAAGATGTTTAGCCACTCATTGAAATAGTCATCTAACCCTCAAGGGCTATCTCTATGGTAGGAATGACCTCATTCTTGATGAATACCCTAGAAGAATGGAAAAACTCCTAAGAATGTATCTCTAGCCTCTCCTCCTCTCTTTTCTTCCTCTCTAAGAATGTTTC